CTCCCCTGTTACAGCCAGAAAGCCTGGAGCTCTGGCTGGGACTGTGAAGCCATCACCTCCCCCTCCCACTTGGCTGCCAGACTCCAGCTTGGGGAGCTGTGGCTCTGCTTCGTTGCTCACACAGGGTGGGTGTGGCGGGGTGGGGGGCGGAGGGTCCCCGAAGCAGAGGGGTTGGTGGAAAGAGCCATCCTAGTGCTGGCTGCATGGCTGCACGGAGCAGCCGCCCCTTGGGTGCCCACAGAGCCACAGGATCCCTTGTGCAGCCCGGGCAGGGCTCGGCTGCTAATTGGACGGGCCCTGGGATGGGCTGGCAGGACACTAGGAACAAGCAGCCAGGCCTGTCCTAACTCTTGGCTCTTGGGGCCATTGGCTGGAGTCCTAGTGCTAGCGCAGCAGCTTGCAAGCACTGGCGGGGTCGCAGAGCTGGGTCCAAGGCTCTGTGGAAATGAGCTGCCCACATCTGACAGGTCCCGTGGAGATAAGCCAGATATCGCCCTCTGTCCCCCCTGCCAGCTCCACTGGCACTTCCAGCAGGTGCAGCATCCTCTGGGGCATGCAGGGTGCTCCCCATGCCTGTCATGCCCACCCCCCAGGGCTGTGCTGTGGAGGGAGGGCTGGGCTGGCATATGGCCACAAGCAAAAGGAGCTGGCATGGGATGGGGCAGCTGGTCTGGTGCTGGGGGGAGCCAGTGGGGCAGGAGATCTGTTTTGTACCCCAAGGTGTTGGCCCTTCCCTGTGCCCCTCTGGACACAGGAGACTCTCCTGGGTGCTGGCCTTTCAGGTGGCTGAAAGATTAGGCCTGTCTTATTAAGGGGCATTCGATAGCCAGGTGTGAGAATTAGAAGAGACCAAGGGTCTTTCTGTCCTTGATTTAACCAGTGCAGTCTGTGGCCAGTATTAGTAGCACAGCGATGCTCCCCGAGGCTCTGCCTTGAAAGAGCAATGGGGTGGGCTCCATGCCTACACCTGCCTCCAGGTCCCCTGGAGGGGCAGAGTGGCTGTGGGGGGCAGGCGGTGGCAGCCCAGGGGGGCAGGTGGAGCCATCTTCCAGCGGAGGGTGTTGGATCTTCCCTGGGAAGGGAGCTCTTCCTTCGCTCCCGAGGCCCTGGAGCTCGGAAATCAGCGGGGAGTGGGATTTACTTGTGCTCGTGAGAGGGAGCATTGTGCACCGGTGGTTGCTGAGTGGCCAGCTGCCATAACGGTCCCCTCGGGAGCGCGCCGGGGGAAGAATGGGGGCTATTGTTCTGTGGGAAGGGCTTTCAGCTCTCGCTCTGATCTGTGTGGAGCTGCTTTGATTTCCTCTCCCCCGAGTGCGGAGTTTCTGCTCGTCGCAAGTGCTGACTTTGTGCTTTCGTCCTTCTGATCGGTGGGGTGGGGTTGGGACGGGTGCAGGACGGCCTACGGAGCTCGGCAGGAGGGCAGAGGGAAAGACAGCACACCCAGGATTAGAGAGCAAAGGTGCGGTGGGGTTAAACACTCCTTACGCAGGTCAAATGAGGTCCCTTTTGCTGGGGTATTAGCAAGCAGGCTTCTGGCTGGATGGAGAATCCTTCTCATGTCCTGGAGATTAGGCTGTAAGATCCCCCAAGCTGTGATCAGAAGAGGGGAGGGAGAAAGAGAAGTGGGGGGTGGAAAATCCTATGCTCTCTGTAGCAGAGATGGCAGGGGTCCTTGCCTAGGCATTGGAAGGGTGAGCTGTGCCACGTGGCTTTGGACCGCCCCAGCAGGTGCATTGCAAAGTCTCTTCAGCCTGAGTGGAGAAACTGAGGCACAGAGGGTGAGTGTGTTACCCAAACCCAGTGCCCCAGGCCAGCCTTCGCCATACCTGCTGTGTCCATGATCTGCATCCAACCCACTCTTCTTTGTGGGCTTGAGTGAGATCAGTCAAGACCTTTGTCCTGGGATGGATTGACCTGGGACTTCTCAGTTCAAGTCCTCCCCTTCTGGTCTGCAGATGACAGCTTAGCGGGTACCCTTTGCTGAGGATAGATGGGGACAGTGTGTGACATGAGGGCAGTGTGGGTGTGATACTAAGAGGTCCCTGCCTGCAGGTACTGAGGGGTTGGGGCTGGGAAACAGCCCTGAGCAACAAACCCTCTACTGCTTGCTCTCCCCACTCGCCTGCTTGCCCTGTCTCTGGGTTTCCCCCTCTTCTCCATGTGGGTGACTTGTTTTTGCTTTCTAATCTGTGCAGCTGTGCAACTGCAGAGACTTGAACCTGCCCCAAACCTCCCAAGGGCAGCATAGCTGACATACCAGGACACAGATGACATGGCTGGGAGCGGGTCGGGGCCTTATATGGGAAAGAGGCTTTCTCACACTTTCTGAAGGGACTTTGCAAAATCCCCAAAGCAGTCAAAGATCCATGAGGCGGTTTCTTGGGAGCACCTATTGCCGCTCCCTTCCCGCAGGCTTGCCTGCCTTCCCCTGTGCCCTTGACCGCTCCGTACGCTTGGTCCCCTCTGGATGGACTCCGCTCTACCTGGCTGGTGTCCCGTGCAGAGATCTCTCCCTGTGGTGATTAAGATCTCTGGCTCAAAGCCGCTCTCTGCCTCTGAAGGGCATTTGGGACTCTCCCCTTTCCAATACATGTCTCAGGATGAAAGGACTTCTTTCTGCCATCTACTCCCATTACAGGCTGGTAATGGGGCACTGAACTTTTTGCCTTGGGTCTAGTCCAATGCAGATGGGGTAGTGGCCAGGATTTTACCTCTGGCCCGTGGAAAAGAAATTCTCGACCCCTCTTCCAGGGGTTGGTTGTTTCCCAAATGCCCCCAGGTGAATTCAGTTCCCTTCCCACTGGCAGTCTCATCTGGAGGCTCAAGAAGTCAGGATAGCTGAGCCTCCTG